AAAAATTTATTTTTCACTGCAGTGAAACATATTTTCGTATTTTCACTGGTGTTGCCGGACTACTTTCTTTTAAATTCTGCCATACTCAAAATTTAAGGGAAAGTCTTGCAAATTTTTTATATCCAGAAAGAGAAAAATGTATATAATAAACAGAAAATTCAAGTTTATTCTATAGATACATGATTTATTTTCATCTTGTGGCATGAAAATTACCATATTTCACTGGTGGCTACCACCACTCATGAAATATTTATTTTCATACCACTCGATGAAAATAAATCATGTATTTATAGAAAAAACTTGAATATCCTCTATATATTTATGAAAAAATACCTTCATTAACATAAACAACTGTCATTTTATTCCTTATTTCAAGCTGGAAATAATTCAATAATACTCATGCACATTTAAATTGTAGGTGATAATGAGCCAGTGCCAAAGAAGGCAAAATATGACAGTAAGTAATTATTATGTTATAGTATTACTCCAATTCTATTATTATTTCATTTATTAACTTACAAGATTCAACATTACTAGTGATTGCGAACTGAGGCCTTGAAAAGCATGCACCTGAGTGTTAGAACCACAGATTTTTTTCACCCATAAGATATAGATATGTGTAGCAAATGGAAAAAAAACTAAGTCTCTGTTGGGTTTCAATTTATTTAATATTACAGTCATGATCAACACCTTTAAGCTCATTGGACTAAAGTCATTACATACTACATCTTGAATGTCTATAAATGTATCTTCATTTCACAAAGCCATTAGATCATGTGGCAACATTATTTACAATATATAACTACATGGGTCACATTTCATCAATGGCACCAAACTTTTTACATAATAAACCTTCTCATTAAAAATATGAACTTTGAAACAGACAGTATGTTTGCTATAAATGACTGTACATGAACCAGAATCCATTGTTACATAAAATGTGTACATTATATTTTTTAGGTCCACCATAGAGGATAGTGAACCTTCACTCAAGAGGGCAAAATATGATAGTAAGTATCATTCTTTTAACAATCAATGATTTCTTTTATGCAACTATTATTCTCATGTTAACTATGAGTAAAACTTTAACTTATCACATAGATAATCACTTGCTTATTATACATTGTAATATAAATTTCAGATGCTTCAACAAGAAAGAGTGTACCGGAAGCAAAACACATCTAGAGATGAAAGTGAGTATGATACATGTAATTAATTAAAAACAATGACCATCATAAATATCATCTAGTTATCTATTTATCTAACAGTTATGATTGTAATCAAAGTTTTTTCATGCAAAAAATGGAGCTTTTCCACAAGTACTTTACTGCTCGAACAATTTAAAGCTTCAACATTCTTCATTCATATAGATCATATTTTTCATTTATGTAGGATGGCAGTTTTATCTCATTTTTGATAAAGTCACATTTTCAAAATATTATGACTGTAGGAGACAAATAAATTTTATCGAACAAGATTGTCTGTTATCAGAAAAACATTTAAATTTGCTGCTATGCCCAATGACGGAACAAAAGGCTTTAGAATTATAATTAATACATTATTGAAAACAAATGGTATTTACAAAGGAAATAGATTGTATTGATTTTAAGGGTTGTAAAATATATTCTTTATTTTATTTTCAGGTCATCGTGTTGAAGAACTAGTTATACAGCAAACTGCTGTAATGAGGGATTTAGTTGCCCAAGTTTCATCTTTAAATGAAAATTTCAAAACCTTAAATGCAAACTTTGATAAATTACTTAACAAATTATCCTGTTAAATTGAAAAGACTGATATTATTTCCTAAACATATTTTAACTTAAGGTATTACCATCCTAATGCATTACCACCGCTTTGAAGAGTATTCAAATAGGCTAGACTACTGTTAACTACATTGAAAATGAGGGCCGTGGGTTCAATCCCCAGAAGGGTCAATTTTCTTTTTCTTTTAAACTTTTTTATTAATCTATCAGATTCCTAATGGAAGAATAAAGTGTTTCATTTTAATTATATAATTATTGTTAGCTCAAGATACTTCAGCGAACAGGTATTGCTAGACCTGTTCTTTACTGTCATAACGTCAAAATAAAAGCGACATATAAAGTTATGGAAGCCAGAACTAAATTATTGTAGGTATCTATTTACTAAATAATGCCAAATTTAATAGCAAATATGATACCAGATATTTTCAAAGTTTTAAAAAATAAAAACTACATGGTAAAAGTTTTTTATATTTTGCAAGACCAACCAATATACATTTAAGAAAATTTAGGCAAACTTTGAAAACAGCCCCTCATTGTGGAAAATTTAAGGGATATTTTAAGTAAGGCTTTTTACATATGGAAATGGTCAAATAAGTGTTAAAAGTGGGTGGGGTAGGGTTACATTTTTATACATATTAAAAAAAATAGTTTAAAAACAATCATTTTGCTTGTTTAATTTGTTACCTAAATGTCATTTTTTGTTTCTTAACAATGAGCAATAGGAAAACATTTTTCATAATGATGATATTATAGATTATTTAGAGATTCCTTATTTCTGAAAAAAGCCCTTCTAAATGGCAAAGTTTTATTCAGAAAAATTTCCATAACTCATAAACCACACGGTAAATTTTGTTTAAATTTTGCATACAGGTGATATTTAGGGCATATAACTGTGCTATGTTGTCAATTTTACAGTTCATTATAGTGCCCATTAGGGTGTTCTACCTTAAATCATATTTACACTCATTATAGACCCTTGGATAAGCATAATACTTTAATTTGGTCTGTCAATTTAAGACGGTTTTGTTTTAGCATTTATTATTTATTGACCTATGATGTCAATTTTTTAGTTCCTTATAGTGCCCATTAGGATGGTAATAACTTAAATCAAATTTACACTCATTATATACCCTTGGATTTACATAATTGCCTGTAATATAGAATGATTTAAAAGCTATAAAAGACATCAACATGAAACTTGTTATACTGTTTAGTTAAAAAAGAATTTTGACAGGTTATATTACCCCATTTAAATGGTTGTTTGCTTATATAACCTAGTTTGTGACTAGGTGAGGGTTATAATTTGCAAACAAATTCTTTTAAATGGCCATATAACTTATTAGAAATCTTTGTAACAAAGTCATAATATAGCAAACAACATTTTTATAGGGAAAAAAATTCTTCAATCATAAATTTAAACATCATTGTATTCCAATGAAAAATTATGTTAAAAAATGTGCAGTATTTGAATTATTAATATTTAACACGTATAGTTGTAAGACAAGGGGATATTTCCGAAAGCTATATTTTAGTAGTTATTTTTCACAATGATTCAATGAATTAATGTATTTCATGAAATCACAAATTAATATTCAACAAATTATTAACTGAATAGCTTTCACATGTATAGTTTACTTATATTATTTAATATTACTACTTAACCCCTTTAATGTTTATTATTCATTACAAATATCATTTTTTCTTATCAAAGGTATCATTGACTCTGACAATAAGTTAACTACTGTGCTAATTTTGGTTTATGTGAAATACAAAGTAATTCCTTTAAGTAATACATGGGTGCTTAATTGAGATAAAAAAATAGATGTAATTGTTTTAATTGAGTGAAATGTTATATTTCAATTGACCAGAACAAGTAATTATATTTTAATTTCTATGTCTTAAAAACATTTTTTCAGAATAAATTAATTAATTCCTGTCTAATATTATTATTATTTCTGTCATCTCCATTTGGTAAATTATTATCATCATCATCATCATCCTGTGTGATGATCTCCACAGGCTCTTGTACTCCTCTAGTTTTACAAAAGTTATGTAGCCTCATACATGCGACCACAACTTGGCTGCTCTTTTCTGGTGAAAATGGTAGAACACCACCACTTTTGTGTAGGCATCTGCAATAAAGGCATAAATATATGAGCCGCGTCATGACATAACCAACATAATGGGTTTGCGACCAGCAGGGATCCAGACCAGAGCGCAGTCTGATCAGGATCCATGCTGTTCGCTTACAGTTTTTCTACTTGTTATAGGGTTTGTAAACGAACAGCATGGATCCTGATCAGACTGCGCGGATGCGCAGGCTGGTCTGGATCCATGCTGGTCGCAAACCCATTATGTTGGTTTTGTCGTGACACGGCTCATGTATCTTATTTGTTTCATGTGGTATGTCATTACTTCAGTGGCATGACATTTTCACAAAAAATAGGGCCAGAAGTAGAGATCAAAGTTGGGACAGCATCATTTAAACATATTGTAAATTCATTATCAATAAAGGTCATATAGTGAAACACATTGATAAAATGGATCAATACAATTTGGCGGCGTGGCAGAGTGGTTAACGCGTCGGACTATTAATCTAAGGATTGCTGACCGCGTGGGTTCAAATCCTGATAGGGCCACGCCGTTGTTTCCTTGAGCAAGAAACTTTACATTCATTGCTTAATTAGTACTGGTTGGTTCCAGGAACGGATTCAAGAGTGTTTCAATAAGCTTATAGCTTCCAACGCAATCGAACTAAAATAAATTTGTACTATAAACTAAACTAATACAATAATTACTTTGAATGATATGCAATATTTTACCTGAAACGTGACTTCAGTATACCAAAGGCTTTTTCTACCACCACTCTGCCTCTGCTATGGTGTTTATTGAAGGCTTCCTCTTGTGGTGTTGTCGGATTCACCTTTGGGGTCAAGAGGTACCTCCTTAGAGGATACCCACTATCCCCCAATAACAACCCATTGTTACTTTGTTCTAAATGTGTCTGAAAAATGATAGATCATCATGAAGCAGTTATTTTCAGATGACATATAGTTTTCTTTAGAAAATTCACAAAAGCTAGATAAAATCAGAAAGAAAAAATATTTTTGTCCTTAATCATTTAGTATGAGGTTAGCACAAGCATTTACTAATATGATTTTAAGTCCATTAAGGGTAATGCAGCTTTAATTCATGTCATGAGAAATTTATTGTGAAAAATTTCACCTTTAACCCACAAGCATTGAAAATGGCCGCATCATGCTGTGAACCAGGCCACCTTGAGACAACATCTGTGAATCTACAAGAAGTATATTTATTTGATAAGTAAATCTACAACAGCTACATCAATTTGATACATTAATCTACAGGAAATATATTGATTTAATAAATTTATCTGAAGTTGAACTTTTTTTTTTTATAAATTGCCAGTAGTATGCTTCCCTTTTTTCTCCTTAGCATTTTAATGTTATAAAAGTGTATGTTAAGTTCATCTTCATTATATTGATTTAAACAGTTATCAAATGAAAATAAGTTCCTCCTGGGACACTTCTTGGATTAAGAAACTAAATTAGATTCTATTTTATAATTTTTTTGTAATTTAACACACTACTGACTTGAATGTTTGACATAAAATAGTGTACCTCATTTCAGCATCGACTACTGCCTGAACATTAAGAGCATGGAATCCTTTTCTGCAGACATAAGCTGCCTCATCCTGTGATGGACCCTGAATAGGGATGAGGGTTCCATCTACTGCTCCTACAAAAAAAGAATCTGAATTGATAATTCTTAGTAAGGATTGTATACAAAGAAGTGTCACTTGTGCCTGTAGAAATGATATCAAATGATTTTAAACATAAAACAATATAACAAGCATTTCCAAAAGCATAATTATTATATTTTAAAACATTCTTTTAATATATAGAGGATATTCATGTTTTGTCTATAAATACATGATTTATTTTCATCGAGTGGTATGAAAATAAATATTTCATGAGTGGCGGTAGCCACGAGTGAAATATGGTAATTTTCATGCCACAAGATGAAAATAAATCATGTATTTATGGAAAAAAACTTGAATTTTCTGTTTATTATATACATTTTTCTCTTTTTTGACATTAAAATTTGAAAGACTTTCCCTTAAATTTTGTGTCCTGGCAGAATTTAAAAGAAAGTAGTCCGGCAAGACACCAGTGAAAATACGGAAAATATGTTTCACTGCAGTGAAAAATAAATTTTTACAATGAAAATACAGAAAATGAAAATACGCATTTTATTTCATCAATATTTCTCAATATTTCATTTGTAAGTATATAATAAATATGTATATATGAAACTAATGTTCAGTAATTAATGATCAATTACCGATTACGTTTGGAATTCTACATTTCTCATAGAATTTCCTCTTCAAATGATGTAAACTTGACCTCTCAGTTGGAAATCTGAAATTTAAGAACAGTTGTATTTAATTATAGACGTTAAATGAAAAGAGTATATGTACTGATTAAAGAACCGTAAGTTGCACATATATGCATGAACAAAGTATCTTTTAAGAATTTATGTACAATCATTTAGAATTTAATAGAAACTGTAAAAAGTGTAAAGTTTGCAGAATATATAATACATATGAAAAATATATGAAAGTTCACATATATTATACATAATTATGAAAACTTATTCATATAAAAACATGTGATAACCATGAGTTCAACATATCCTTGATGACACATGCTTTTCATATGGTACTGTTTACATATGTTAATCTTTCATATGAAAAACACATGTCTTTAAACACATGTTGTTCAAAACACATGAAACACATATGTTTTACATATGGGGTACCAAACATACAGCAAACATGTGGTGCATATTTACCTGTGATATACAGGATTGCCTTAGTTTTTTTCAAATAATATATCTAGTAAAAATAGATAAAATTTTGCACAGATTTGTATTGAGCAATAGACTAAGTACTGTGTATGAATGTAATCACGAGAATATCAATGGATGCTAATTGACGAAGTGTCTCAGAAATTAAATTGAATTAGATTCAATATAACCCTGTCCTATTATAGAATTTATTATAAGTAAGTAAAATTACTTGTATATGTGTACAGCTCCACATACTCACCTAATATTCTTTAATCGAAGGTTTACACTTCGTATGAATTGGTGAATGTAAACTGCAGCTCTGGCTTTAGACACCCCGTGGATGTCTCCAACTTCTGATATAAAATCTCCTTTTGCCAGGTATCGAAGTCCAATAAGAACCTACAATGAAAGAAAGTCGAATTGCTTTATTGATGTGCTTGAAATAAAATTACTTTGATAAAAATATATCTAGATCTTATATGATTTTTAGGTGTGTGTTTTTATTTATCCGTGGCAACGAGTTACTAAGTCGTGGCAACAAGATACTATGTCGTGGCCACGAGATACTATGTCGTGGCCACGAGTTACTAAGTCGTGGCCAGGAGATAGCTAACTCGTGACCACGAGTTACTAAGTCGTGGCCACGAGTTACTAAGTCGTGGCCACGAGATAGCTAAGTCGTGGCCACGAGATACTATGTCGTGGCCACGAGTTACGAAGTCGTGGCCGAGAGATAGCTAACTCGTTGCCACGAGATACTATGTCGTGGGCACGAGATAGGTAACCATTTATGTTACTTTCCCATAATTAACTAGACATGTGCTGTAGTACAAGGATACCCCTACTTCACCAGCCTGTAAAAGAAGAATTTATACAACTTATTGATTTGTCGCTAATTTTACACTTAGCGTCACTCTGACTTAGTAACTCGTGGCCACGACATAGTATCTCGTGGCCACGAGATATATATAGAAACACACACATGTCACCTTTGTGCCACCGTAGAATACAGATTATATGTTTTTGTATATCGATAGAAACATGTTTTTGGAAAAAATTATTTTGGATGACTTGGATTATTTAAGCATTTTACATAGATTTCAAACTACCTTTGTGCCACCGTAGAATACAGATTATATGTTTTTGTATATCGATGGAAACATGTGTTTTGGAAAAAATTATTTTGGATGACTTGGATTATTTAAGCATTTTACATAGATTTCAAACTAGCAAATGCTAACGAAAACAGAACATTAATTCATGTAGGACTTCATGCATTTATAAGAAAATGTTGAAGAATATGTAGCATTTATAACGAGCAAAACATTATATGGTGTTAACAAAATAACGAAATGATTAAATATTCAAATAATATATATATATTATAATGATTTTAAGAGTGTAAAGATTCCCCATTACGGTAAAAAATACCTTATATTACGCTGATTAAAACTATCAAATTTAGGTGTATCGTGTCAAAAAAATTAGTGTCTTTTATCCGGTAATTGTTTTCCCACAACGTTATACTCGCACGCGGGCCGTTGCTATGGGTTTATGTACACTATACAGTAGTATTGTATTTTTTACCTTCGTCAAGCTGCTAACAGCAAAAGACCGGCCTGTCAAAGGTGAAAGGTCTTGTCGGCAAATACTTTCAAGCTCGTAAATGGCAGCTTTATCAAGCCGATAGCGGGCCACAACTTCCTGATCACTCAGGCAATCCAAATGCACCATTCGCTGCCTAAAAGTCCGGCTTTTCCTTCGGCATTGTCGATTCACAAGAAGTACGGCGGCCATTTTGTTTGATCTGCGACTGCTACTTAGCAATCGTAGAAAAAATGCATGATCTTACGATAATCGTAAGATTAAGGAAATCTGCGACGTTTGATAAGACACCGCCAAAAGCGTACGATCGACGTACGACAATCGTACGATAAAAACGGTCGTACGACCGTTGATAAGACGGGCCCCTGCAATACATCACTGAATCAAAGCACTGAATGTACTGATGGGGAGGCTATGACAGAATGTTTCAGACTTATAGTTTCTTTTCTTTTTGCTTAAAATGTGCTGTTAAATAAGAAGATATGCACATTGCGCCATTTATCGTTCAACCATTCATATATATGGTTAATATGGTTGACTATTCATTTTGTTAATATTCCAGAACATTTCATTGAGGTCTACTTTCGGATTGTTAATCATGCAAATTTTGAAAAACCTAAAAACCATTCATAAATGACATACCAGCAGGTATGACGACTGTTCATTATAATATCATAATACCATTTTACAACTGACGGTTCCTTATCAAAATATTCTAGGACTGTTCATCATAAATACTTTATGTCATTTTAATATCATTGAATGATAATAACAACTGCAAGTTAAGCAACATTTTAATTGAACATAAAAATTATACATATTTACATGTACCATAATTGAGATCAATAAGACACTGTCTTGTGATGAGTATTAATATTCATTCTCTACGGACATAAAGTTGTCTTCTCCCGAAGCAAATCTCGAATAAAATCACGTTTCAGAAAATTATTCCCATTTCATTACTCGTCGCTGACTTTGACGGCTTCGGATAATATTAAAGCTAAATATTTCTTGAAAAAAATACATATCTGCAAAGCTTATTCAAAATTGAATCAACCTAAGTGAAAATTGATCAAGAAGTTATATCTTCTTTTTTACCGCCAACACTCAACCAACTTATGGTAGTTAATCGATAGATTTTAAACCTCGCTAGCTTGAAATATATACTGCGGAAAATCTGTTGTTAACAGGGCGTGCGGTTATTACGTAGGGTTTTCCTTGTCGACCATTTCCCGCAAATAGATGAGAACATCGAAGCGTCAGTGCTATGAATGGTGTTATAAATAGCGTGTTTTGGAGGTTTTTGTTGAAACTTCTCCAAATCCCTCCAGGGATATGCACGTCGCGGAGAAGCCACACGGCAGGTCAAGGTCAAGTCATCTCAAGTACCAGAGGTGATTGGTTGACCTGTCGTAACTTACTCTGGAGGTTTGGCGCTAATGAACGCCGTTTTTGTTGTCGTCAGTCAGGAAGTTGATGCCTTGACAGTACTGTCGTCTCCTTTACCACTAACGAACGAAGAATGGGCTACCAGGAAGATTCTGCTTCAAAAAGACGTCCCCGATGCTATAATCTCGGACATATGGTTATTCCGGCGCCGAGAATAAATGAACTTAAAACACACACTCTTGTTGAAAACAAAACAAAACAAAAACAACAACATATTTTCTGTAGTAATTTTTCAAGTGTTGTAAAATGAAAACGAAATTCGGTTCATGCCGCCAATTATTTTTAGAACACAAGCATATAAGTTCTTTTTATTTGATTTATTCAAATAAACATTAATCACTTCAGCGCGCGCAAATATCGTTTTCAAATTAAAATTTCGTAAGATACAAATGTATGTTGATGAATTTCCGATGCTCGACTGTAAGTCATTCGTATATATATGCGTTTTTTTTTGTTTTGTTTTTTAAAGCTTCTTATTCTTTAATATTTTTATGTATCTCACAATCTGTATTGAAAATTTTATTACACCTGGACTATCAAATTATGATTCGTTGCCCTAGAATTGAATAAACTTTCTAATAACACAATACGGGGTCATTCATTTGATTGAAGACTGATCTTTGCGTCATTCTCTGAAATAATTATTTCCTTGTTAAAACATATTTGACCACATATTTCTGTCATTTAACTGTTTACTTTACTTCCGATTTTTGTTGTACCGAAACACATATTTCTATTTGTGATTTCTATTCGAATCCATAATCAGTTTAATGGGATCACCACCGGGTAAACGACTACTAGGTACTTTGGTCATGTTTTTTACCCCAAATATTTGAATGTTTCTATTGGGATTAAAATGAGCGTAGATAACTAAACAACTGGTTGTATAAATCCCTGACCTGTCTAATTCTAATTATGAGATTAGTGGATATATTAAGACATTCAATACAAAATATTCCTAAACAAAAGAGCACATGTTTAAATTTATTCCTTTACAAATAAAAGATCAGAGTAGGGATCTGTCAATTGCCAGACATATTTTTAAAAGATACTTTTATGTTAAAAGTTTGATTAATGAATTATGTAAGATGAAAATATAAGTATTGCTTTTTTATTTTGCTAATATTAAATGTAAACTTGTGGTGAAATTTTGTCGGAGGGTCCTTAGGGATTTTGTAGTTAAATAGTTTTTTTTCGGCGATACATGGTTTAAGAATATAATGTTTTCAAACTATATGTTCATCACCATTAGTGAATTTTTAGTTAAATGTATGCAAAATATTTACTAACAGCTATATGATATAGCGGTTTATGAGCGTTTTCAGCGTACAGCCTCCTAAGGTGTACTAATAAGTTAGTTTTCCTTAGTTATCACGCAAGCATGATCCATGTCTCTGATGTAAGCGACAGTTTACCATTATTTGTCTTTAAAAAAATATTAAGGACTATTAATGGTTTATAACAACAAACGAACATGCATGATATTGAGACTACGGTGTTGCAACGTTCTAGTTAATGACCCGTCATAAACAGTTGGTCGCTGCGTAGTAATTGGAAAATTGTTATCAAAAATAATAAAGAATATTTGCCACCTAATTAAAGCATTTACTTATAAATTTTCATTTATGCTTTTTCTTTAAAAGATATTGATAAAGTTATTATATAAAAGGGTTTTCATACCAGAACTATTTATTACCAACGTACGTATGCCTAAACCTGATTACCGCGGCAGTATGACGTCACGGAGTAGTGATTTTGAAAAAAATAACAAACAAAATCAAGAATTTTTCAGAGAATTATTATCTTTACAAATTGCAGATATGAAATAAAAGAATGAACATATGTTCATATTGTAAATGTCTGTGATGAGTGATGAGTCAGCTTAGAAAAAATCAAGGTACTATTTTTTTACCTGATTACCGCGGCAGTAAGATTTGACGGATGGTATTAAAATTGGGGAGGCATAGCCTCCCCAAAAACTACCGTAGCCCTATTTTGTCTAGAAAGCTTTTATGGTTAAACCAATGACATTTACTACATTTTCGTAATAAGTATATTAGCATAATTATTTCACAATAAAATCAGAAGTTATCGAATCAACCGACAAGAAATTTTTTGAAAGGAAGTAGTGAAAATTTTCAATGATTATAATTGTTTTTTATCTAAAAACACAGGGAAAATCTTATGTTATTATAAGGTAAACACTTTTCCATACATTTTTTTATCCATTTGTCCTTGCAAAGTGTATAGTTGCAAATTTCGCTTTACTTTGTTAAAACAGAAGATGTTTTCTGTATTAAAATGTCAATTCCAAATAAGAAGTAGGAACCTCTTACGCATTGAACAATCATCTTGTATATACAAATGTACCCTGTATGATTGACTTTGTCTATAATATCTGTATCCTACTGTTAACAAACTGTTATGTCATGTAACACATTGGACACAATGATTGTAAACAGATATTGATAGAGCTTTGAACTCTAACTTTATATATCCCTATATACGTTTACCTTATTTTCTATTTATTAAAGCAACAGTGAAAAACAACTTCCTTTAATTTACATTTAATTCACTGATATGAACTTGTTTAAAACCAGTTTATATAGAGTTTCCAGCAAATTTGATTCTCTTACAATAAAACTTATTTCTAGGTTATTCAAAACAAAATAATGTAATAATCTAAATATTATAAATATCGATTATTGACTTCGAATAACAGATGGATTCGGATTTTCATATCCGACTCAAGTGGTGAACGACTACTACTTAACTTTGACCATAGCAGTAATCATAGCAAAACTATTGTCTATAACACATATGTAACATGACATCAATCGACAAAAAAAACACACAAAAAACACACAAAAAAACCCAACAAAAACAACAAAAAAAAAACCACACACACACGCACATCAATACGCTGAGAAATATGTCAAAATAAAGTTAATTGGCATCAAAGACAAACACTACGTGCATTGAATTTCGCATAACGTAGATTTAAAGTAAATGTAACATTTTACTGTTAATGTCCAGCTGGATAATATGCAACACAACTGTTTTCAATCTTTAGTTAAATTCATTAATTTGAACACTTTTTAACCTTAATCAAAAATTCTATAATAGGGACCAAAATGTACTTAAAATCATAGGACTGGTGTGTAGAAAACAATGGTTAGATCGTAATTCATGTAAACAATTAATTGTCCGGTTAGTGTCATAATCATTTACGACACAACACTCCCTCTCCGATTTCGTAGCTTTCTTCTTTTTTCAATCATATGTTTGTTAATTAACGTGAATTGTATACAATATGTAAATTACTTCCTTTGTACACTTTTACTATTTCACGTTTAAATGTTGAATTCTGCTTAAGCCGGTGCTAGGGGGCGTGGACGGTAACTTGCACTTTCCAGTACCGTCCATGAACAGGCTCAATCAAACCGAGCCTGCAACATTTTCAATTTTGCCGTGTTGGGCTTTCTTTAGGGATTCTGTATTTATCTATTTTAACAACATTGTACTTTAAAATACATGTTCCTAATTGTTATGAAAACAATTACGGATCTTGGGGCGTGCTACTTACCTTACGTTTAATAATGCAATTTCAAGGAAATTTTGATTTCCCCTTAACTTTATAAACATCAAGACAGGATTTCAACAACTTCAAGCATCTTACGCACACATTCGCCACGCTTAACAATTGTCTTTCAGTTATATATTCTTGTTTGGAGTGTTCGTTATATAAAACAGTGATATCTATGTAATATGATATCTTCCTTTTTCTAATTACATTAAAGTGTTAATATGCATATAGTCATGACATTTTACAATAAAGAGAAATGCTTAGAAAACATGTTGGCATTGGAAAGAAAATAACAATTAAAAGGACAAATATAATTATTGTTTAATTATTTTAAGGAAGTACGCCCTGAAAGTGTTATAATTACGTTATTTGACTACTATGTTGAAAATGTCACGTCCCGGCTCATATATAGTTATTATCTATTTTATTCATTTTCAACCACTTACTTTAACTACCGTATCATGGCATTTGTACAAATATAATACATGCGAATTCTAGACAACACAACGTTTTGAGTTCATTATAGGTATGATCCATTCTATAATAGTAATGGGTTTTATCCCATTTGGAAAGAATTGGAAATAAGAGTAGAACTTTTCGACAGCAGTCTTTTGAATAAAATATTTTCGTTTAATGTTGTAAACATATTTGTTTTACACAGGACAATACCATTACGACGAAGTCAAAAGCAATCGAATAAAGTTTATTGATACGAGATTCTCTGAACGGAAGTTATATAAACAAACACAGGTATTTTATATGACATTGCATGTTGATATAAGAAAATAACACTGAAGTTTTTGTTTTTGCATTTCTTCCCATTTTTTAACTGTTATCTATTTCTGTCACGAGTTAAACGAACCGATAAATTCTGTCAGAGAGTATATTCTTGTATACTTTCATTACGTCATTAAATTAAATTGGTAATGTCTAATGCAAACGAACTAAAATACATTGTACATGTTGAGACAAAAGTTGAGTTAAAAAAAGACACAAATGAAGAGCGTTTTCTGCTGCGCTGAACGTGCTCGTGCTTTAGATCAATCAAATTGATGGACATAATTTTGTCGTGCCAAATAATCAGTATGTCTTTTGTTTGTTGTTTTAGTTTTATTCTATATTTCCAATGTGTTTGACAGCAACTGACACGTAGTTACTCAGTAATTAACATTTCGGTCAATGTGATTTCTTTTCATTAATTCAAAAATTACAAGATTAAACAGTTTTTGTTTAATCTGTATGGAAATAAAAATATTTATGCTTTTAATGTGCGCGAAATTACTAACAATAGTTCAATATTCACAGCCTTTTGTTTGGTAAGTCAAGATTTACAAGCAAACATGCAAAGCTACTTACATCTTCTCAGTTTATTTAGTTATTCATTTGAAAATTAGTTTCGATTAATTAAAAGATAATATGCTACCTTTCTTAATGTTTGTTATCTTGTTTCAATTGTTTTATCATAATCGTTCCGCTAAAAACCAATCTCGTATTCTGAAAATAACAAAATGTATTAGATAATATTAATGGGTTTCATCCTATTTGGACAGAATTGGAAATAAGAGTAGAACGTTTCGACAGTTCGTTTAATGTTGTACACATATTAGAAAATATATCTCATTAAGAACAAAAATTTAATATTTCAAGAAGAAGTAGCTAGATTGAAGAATGTAGAAGTGAGATGTATTTCATTTTTTAAATAAAAAAACACGTTGTCTAATTAAGTAGTTCACACATTTGTGTAAGACCAAACTAGCCAAACAAAAAATGGCACACAACGTTTTGCGTTGAATTTGGGTACTATTAAGGTTATAAAAGGGCAACCGAAGTTATATTTTTCGCTTAGATACAATAATACGATATAACATATATCGCAATAATATATTTAAATACTGAAGGAGGCTTGGCCGTAGTGTTTACAACTTAAATATACTATCAGGAGTTAAAGTGATATCGTTTTCCCTATTTCTCGTGAAAAAGATAAATAATACTGTATTGTAAACTAAGATCGCATTTAAATAATATTCCAAACAACGATATATTGAACGTGTAGCAAATTAGCATAGATCGCTTTGTAAAATCTAATTTAAAGACATTGATAACGCTGTAAAATGAACATCAGATCCTTGTACTGAAACATTTCAAAATCGGAAAAGTTACAGATTCTTTCTGAAAATTCGAATGTATGTTGTATACTAAAAATACCTACATACTACTACTGAGTGTACTAAAATAATAGAATATGTCTTTTTATCAAACATAAATTAACAATTAAATATATATTTTAATATTTTCAGCCGTATTCTGTACTGTTTTATTTGAAGTAGATTATAACTGGACAGACAATAACAAAATATTATGTACTGTTTCATTTGAAGAGGATAACAACTGGGCAGATATTTTTAAAACTGGCAAAGAATTAAAATTATATTACATCATTAAAATCTTTTACGTGATACACATTACTTTGCTTATTAATTCATAAAACTGCATTAGTAGATGCATTATATTCATAAACGAAATAGTTAAGATTCTATATTAATATAACAAAATAGCAGAATGCTCAATTTTCATTCTAGTAAAAAACAAGTTATAACATTTGATATAATGAATATCTAGCTTTTTACTTGGCACGAACATTGCGTTGAAGGACATTTTTTTAAATATCTAATACATAAAATAGAGAAACGTCAGATGCCTAAGTGAACAGAATTTTTGAATGCCAGTTTTTACATATATACATATTAAAACATTTTTTTCACTCTTAATGTCTGTCGACTTATTCAAACAATCAAGCAACTGTTAATTATTATACATGTAGTAAATTAAATAGTTAATATCAATTCACCGTAAATATAATAATGACATATATATTTACGAACGTCTTGCCCTTTTTATCTATTGATTATTGAAGTCAATTTTTATAAAAGTCTATTTAAATGCCTTTTAGTCTGTAAACAACAAAATGTACTGAAGTTTAAAATCTCATACCTGCAGCAAGTGTCCGTTCTTCTTTCAGTGACTAAAATGGCGGGTTCTGCATTGCTAGTGGTTGCATTGGACTTTGGTACAACATACAGTGGTTATGCCTTCTCGTTCCGGGACAACCCGTTAAACGTACAGACTAATAAAGGATGGATTGCTGGAAGCGATCAGCTTATATCCTTGAAAACACCAACGTGTGTTCTACTCAATCCATTTGAGCAGTTTGACTCATTTGGATATGAAGCAGAAAATAAATTTTGCTACCCTTGCCGAAGACAATAAACACCATGGCTGGCGTTTGTTTCGTAGATTTAAAATGATTCTTCACAACAATGAGGTTCTCCCTTTTGGCAAATTACTTTAGACTTGAGTTACACTCAGATTAATTTTTAAATCATTGGCGAGATTGTATGTCAAATTGTTAATAAGAAAAACAGAATGACCACAAGATAGTATAATTCAACATGAATGTATGTGGTTTTATTTTATTTTATTTTAATAACATGTTAGAAGAGTGTTTTATGAATTAATTTTTCATGTGATTTTGCAGTTTTAATGTTTCCATTCATTAAATAGAATTTCAAATGTTTTTGATCATTTTAAGAACTATGTATGGTCAAAGCATACAATTTACATCTATACTGGCATTTACACCAGAACATGTCATGTCTATTTCATAAACAAATATCAATATTTGAAACATTTAATAAATCAGATTCATAAGGAAACAACTCTAAATAGCAACAAGATTTCAAGGGTTTTCCTCGTTAAACAAATGTTTTATTTTCAAGTGTTTAAGTTGTTAATACTTTTTCAATTGTAGTATTTATGAACGATTAGAGTGAAATCCAAACATTCTTTTTAAAATGACATTTCTTATGTGAGTTATTTTCATTATAATATTAGTAAAAAATGAACACGTATTACATTGATACAGATTGGCCCCTGGTGTTGCTTTAAGTAACCTAAGGTTAGCCAAAAACATATTTCCTGTTTCGGTGCCATGCAACCTTAATTGGTTGGTGCGCCTCAAAATCAATCAACCAATCTTTTTGATACAGATACGAGTTTGTATAGACCTTTTTACGACACGGTCCGTTGCTATGAAAAATTGACCGAAAGCAGTATTTTTTCGCGCATGGGCAATTTGCGTAGGGCAAAAAGGGCCTTGCCATAAATAGAAATGCAGTAGAAATTCATAGACAATTCCGTGTTAGTTTAAGGTAAAAATTAGAAAATCATATTAAATAGCTTTTAACAGAACACAAAAGATGCATTTATAGCTTTGTGGCCAAGATCGCCCAAAAAGGCATGGAAAAGACGAGTGTTTAAGAATTTCCCCTTACGATCACGTGCCGGACATGGAGATTATTGTTGTAAAAAATGTAGAAAAATATATATTAGCAAATAAACAGGTCAATTTAATTGTTGTTGAAATTTTCCGTATAAAAACTTTTTTATAACATATAATATATAACATTTCTATATAAATTTTACAACATTTAAAATTGATCTTAATTATCATTCTGAAAAAGAAAAGTCGGAACACGTGATATAATGCATTTTTAGTTTTCAGTTTAGCTAATTTTATCTGACTTGACTGAGGTGCCAAACAGAGATTTTTTAAGTCACATTTATATTTAAATAATTTTTCAAACTCTTGAGAAGTTAGGATGGGTGGTGGAATAACACACATTTTATCCGGTACCTTGTAACACATGGAAATGCACGTCACGTACACTATTTTTCACTTCATAAAATCCATAAACACTGATGAGATTGGTATAAATAAAAGTTACTTAAATTACGATTAATCATTTTCATCATTTTAAGAAGTTAACTATGTCATGGTACTAAAACGACCCGGTTGAATGATATTATAAGTAGCTGGCAAATAACAGCCGGTCACGTGTCATCTGTTCGAGACTTACCGATTTGCCAATCCACTTTCAAAGGAATACCAATTGTGTAATATTATGTAATACATGGGTAATAAAATGTGGTCTTTAACATCCTGCTGTTTCAATTTAAATTACTGATGAAAAAGTCACCTAATGATACCTTGAACAGAGGACTTTTGGTTGTTGAATTTTAAGTCCCGCTAATTTTGTATATCTGTTATAAATATCAATTCACGTTTTAAGTACTTACCGCTTTAATTCATCCCAAAATGTCTTTTTTTTCTGGGTGACATAACTTGAAATCATGCATTTTAAAGCCTTTACATGCTTTAAGTACGCTAAAATGTATTCTATCGTTATTGCGCTTTTGTCCTACGCAGAATGCGCATGAGCGAAATGCAACATGCGTTGCTATGGAAAACTCGTACTGTAAAAAGGTCTATATCAACATGAGTATGCTTACATACTAGAATTTCGAGACAATTAGTATACAGTTGTTAAAAAAATAGTAACGGAAAATCAAAACTTTTATTGAACATTGTTATAGTGTGCGCATTAACACCTTAAAACCGTAAAATGAATGGTAATTTGAAGACGATAATGATGACATGACAATGTTAAACAATACAATCATTGATTTAAAATAAGGAAATTATATATATATGCAGGATCTATCAAGATCGACTACCGTTAACGACATAAACGGAAGATCAATGCCAGCAATGAGAATCTTTACAATGTCAATAAAGTATCTGAAACAACATTTCACTACGACGATCAACAAACAAAAGACCGGGATAGTTGACACAGACATACTGTATGTTTTAACTGTACCTGCCATATGGAATGATAATGCAAAGCAATTCATGCGTGAAGCAGCAGAAAAGGTAAATCACGTTTAAATACAGAGGACACATTTAAGGTATTCTGCTTTTTATGTAGCTCGTGACCTTTCGAGTGATTAGTTAAAAGTCCATCAAAAATCGGTAAAGAGTAGTTTTTTAAGTCTTTCCTTCACCTAAAACTATTTGATTTACTAAACAATTTCGTTAAAAAGATATTTTATGCTGGAAAAGGAACTAACATATTCAATGACATTTCATTTGATTTTGTATTTTGACAAAGATAAATTAAATTAAGACAATAAATCAATGAATCAATGTTAAAAGTAAGCTTAATTCGAAACCCGAAACAATGATTTTGTGGTTACTTTGATTTTCGCGTTTCAGGGCGAAATCACGACAACATGAAAATCTGCCGTATTTTCGTTATTTCGACCTTCGCGTTTGAGGCGAAGACACGACAAACAAAAGGCGCGGACATAAAAGATTTCGCCCCTCCGACACGAAAACTTAAACAATGAAATTTTCGTCTCTTCGCGTGTTAAAGTTTCGTTATTTCGCCTAGAATGTTTCGTGTTTTCGTGTCTTCGCCCCGAAAGGCGAAAGTCGAACTAACGACAGATGGGTATTTTTTCTTGTCTTCGCCTTTCGACTTTAAGACACGAAAACACGAATTGGCAGAAATCAGCCACCATAACTTATATGAAACTAAATCATACTCATTCAAATATTTTCCTGTTTCGCCTGTTGAATTATATTGAGTTGGCATTTTATTAACAGGCTGGCATAGAAAAGCACGCCTAAAACTGTCTTATGAACCAGAAGCAGCGTCTATTTGGTGTCAGACAATTTCTACAGATGTAAAGGAGTCATGGTCTAAAGCAGGGAGACAATACATGGTGATCGATCTTGGAGGTTGGTTAAATAGCTTGGAATACAATAATGAATTTTACCTCATTAATCGGCTATTTGTACAAAAGAAAATATCGGAAACAATCCTTGTAACGATTTTCTTTCGATTTTTATATCATTTTTCTTTTTGTTTCAATTTCAAAACTTTCATCATATAGTTAAAGTTGTACATGAGAATTACCGGAACTTAGAAACATTGTCACAAGAGGTTTGATCGGTAGCTCAAGTAATTGCGCAAATTTACTGGGTTTCTGGTTTATTGATTTTGTCTGTGTTATTGAACAAAAAAATCGTTTGAGCAAATTAATGATTTTTGTGTCGTCTGCTACTTATTACTAGTAACTGCTGCATGCTACAAAGTACCGAAGTCCCTATGGGGTCACTTTTTCGTCGTATTACTGCCTTTTTTTTCTCCTGTCTGCCCGGCGAAATTTGTTCCCCTTTTTTGGTGCCATCACAAAAACTTGCCCTTTAACTAACCCTCAAAAAACTTTTGTTTGGGCCCTTTAAATTTCAAAACATAAATGATCATTTTTCAAGGTAATTGTGCGCATCGTTGGCATTTTCAATATAAATGATTTTTGTCTGAGCCACGTCCCTTTGATTATTTTCACCTTTTAAGTTTGTCCGGACCTCTCTGATACTACTTACGCAATTTGAATAAAATGTAATGATCTGTACCTTAAGTGTTTGTGCATATTAACATGTATTTTGGTGGAACGATTTTTGCTGAGTTATGACCCTCTCATAAAACAGGCGTTCTGGCCTGTAAATTATTTTTTTGTCGTCTACTAAGCAGTGGCTGCAACAACAGAGCTGCTAAATTGGCTATCACCAGGCGATACACGCTATCCCTGATTGCTCTTGTTTTATTAAAACATAATATATGAATGCATTAGCTTATAAATGTTATTTCCAATAGGTACTGCAGATATATCAGTACATGAGAAACAAATCGATGACACATTAAAGGAACTCCATAAAGCAAGTGGTGGTCCGTGGGGAGGAATAATTGTTGACAACAACTATTTAGAATGGCTGACTAAGATATTCGGGAATACCACAATGCAAAAATTTAAAAGTAAGCAAATGGAAGACTACTTTCAAATGCTTAGGGATTTCGAAATAAAAAAGCGTTCTGTCACTCCCGAATTAAAGGGGAAATTTACATTTAGACTGTTTTCATCAATAAAAGAGCTTTATCAGGAGAGTAACATGCCTCCATTAGGGAAAAGAGTTGCCGATCTTGGATTGTCCGGAATGGTTACATTTACTGGCGACAAAATGAGAGTTGACGTTTCTGTCGTTAAACAATGGTTTGAGGCTCCGATAAATAGCGTGATTGAGCATGTACAAAATATTCTTGCAAAACAGAATATGCAAAAAGTCGAAACAATTCTTTTAGTTGGTGGGTTTGGGGAGTGTGAATTAGTCAAATACATTATCCAGAGAGAATTAAAGTACAAGGAAATCATTACCCCAGAAGAGGCAGGTCTTGTTGTTCTCAAAGGTGCAGTGCGGTTTGGACATTATCAGGATACTGTACGTTCAAGAATAATGACCCACACTTACGGGATGGCTACCTTTCAAAATTTTGATGAGCAAAAACATAAAAATGCAGAAGTAAAATTTATAAATGGTAAGAAAAAGGCTTGCAATGTCCCAAGAACAATTATACAGGCTGGAGAAGAGGTTAATATTGGGAAAATTATTTCTAAAGGTCCATTCACGCCATCTGACCCTGATGAAACGAATATAATGGTATATTGTACAGAAGAAATTGATCCTGAATACACAACAGACAATGGCTGCAAACACATAGGAACGCTAAGAGTAGCACATTCAAATGGCAGATCGAAAGAGGATAATCAACTAGAAACCTCGTTCATATTTGGTGATACTGAACTTCTCGTGAAAGCTGTTAATGTCAGAACAAAAGAAGAATTTTCTACGTATATGGACTGTCTACAAAAAGTGTATACATAAAACAAAACATATGCTATTCTACAAATGAATAATACTTTAGCATGCAATTTATTGCAAACGTTGATATGAATGCATATATTACATAATTGCAAAAACTTGGTAGAAATGAATAATTTATCCCTAGTAAAAAAAGTTGTGATGATATATTTCTCATATATTCTCTTTATTTGTATGATAGTCAAGAAGAAACAATTAATCCAATAGTTCAGCCTTAAACGTGAACTGTAGAATGACGCTTTCCAAGCAACGTTTGAGACGTGATACATATAAATTGTTTTTAAGAATGGATCACAGGGTTTTGTTATAAAAAATTTGTTTTGAATATTGGAATACATTAATAGAAAATAACAAGCCGTTTTAGGATGTAAATGAAGCATATAAAGATAAAAATAACAACATAAAAGGGAAAATTTCGGTACATGATAAATAAAACAGAATGAAATCAATAGATAGCATACTGCTAAAGAAAAAGAGACAACCAGGAATACCAGTTTGCTTCTTTTAAAATGAAGCATGCGTGATTTCATTTTGCAGCAACTATTGGCTTCGATATGCTGTAGAAGAAATAATCGTTAAAGCATCAGGAAAGTTTTGGAACACGGTTCACTCGGTCATAAATATTGCCTGGTGATATTATAGCTATAGTAATTACAGTTACTATTTTGCGAAACATGAAATAGTAAAAATTACTATTTTGTGAAACATGAAATAGTAAAAAGCTATTTAGAAATCAAGGCCTAATGTTTATAGTATTCTTTGGTAATTTGTTTTGATGATTATATATCCAATGCTTCAATACTTTTCTAACGTTTCCCGTTAATCAAAAATATGTCCTGATCTGATCAAAAACATATCATTATTTTAAAACCATTTTGAGATTGCCGAGGATGCTTGCTTTGAAGTATTATACTTCAGTCCTATCCAATTTAAGGCGGGGTTTTATTGTAATATGACAGACAAACGGACACTCAGTGATCATTAATATCATCCTAACTATTTATGCAAGTTCGTTTAGGATTATATTGTAAATTCAAATTAGTATCAATATTGTACTTCACAAATATATTGAAGTATTTTAAAAATATACTATGCTCTTTCCTTGAGTAAAATAATTTAATAACAGAAATTAATTGAAACCTATAAAATTCTCACTGAACATGTCTAATTTGAATAAAAGAATGAATAAACTTTGTGTATGGGAAGCTGCGTTCCCTATTACAGGTCAAGGAAAAGTTGGTCCTTTCTTAAAAAAACTGATATATTCATAATGTGATCAACTATTGTGTGTAGGGTTTTGTAACATAACATATCTACTTCGTGTGAAGTCAAAAACATGTTTATTCTATATTGACAAGAGAATGTAAAGCAATATTTTCTAATATCGAATTTGAGCATTGTATATCTTTAAGAAAAATTATTGAATAACGCGCTTTTGGATAAAAGCCTTATATACGATATTACCAGTATGAATATCATGAAATATTGTCGCAAAGATATGGCTTATTGTTTCTATACACAGGAAAGAGATAATGCAAGCTGTTTCAATTTTGAAATATACCAAATGTATTATTAAGTTATAAATAAAGCTATAGGAAAATATAAATTATTTATATTTAAATATACTGAAAAATGAGATACTATTAGTAAAATGTTGTGATATGCATTCCTGCTGCATTTTAAATTCAACGAAAAAGCTTCAGGATACTTTAATTTTCACTTGTACAAAAAATATATAAAGAGAAATATAAATATCTTAAAGTTTTCTGTTACATGCAAGAGAAATACACGTAAAAGTCTTGTGATGTTTTTTGTTTCCTGAATTTTTTTGTGCATGTTTTGATAAAAAATGTCGCAAATATAAATCTTTTACATTGGCAATGTACTTTATTTAAAAAGTGTGGTTAATAACCTGAATGTTAAAGTGTGTACATTGATTAGAGTATAATAAAATATATATAAATACATTTTCATTTTTTATGCCCCGGGCATATAGTAATGAACTATTTGCCGTCTTTCTGTCCGCATGAGGTTAACCTAAAAACGGCAAGTTAGATTTTTCTCAAGTTCAACCAGTGCCGATGGCTTTGTAATTTCACACTTACTAATCAATAAAAAGTACATTATCTGGGCAAGTTACATAACTATAGGCTTCCATTTTTACCAGGTAATTGCCCTTTTCAGCACTTAGAAACTGAATAATGGTTAACCTTAACCAGAAAGTTGGATTTATCTGAAATTCAATCTATACTAATGGCTTCATAATTTCAACACTTACTTTTAATACCAAAGTTCATCATATATTGCCAAGTTATAAAACTGTGTATATCAATTTTCCCCAGTTATTACCTTTTTTATCACTTTGAAAATAGGGCCTTGTATGGTTAACCTATTCCGGCAAGTTGGATTTATCTTTCATTTCTGCTAATTACTTAATTTATATAAATATGTCCTTCACATTTGGTAAGTGGATATTAAATGATTCTCTTATATTTTATAGAGTAAGAGATATCTTGGGCCAAGTCAATGTCGCTGATCTAGAAACATGCCAAGGTAGGTGTTCTATCTTTGGGTGTAGTTAGGGGTCAATTGTGCCCAAGGTCAATGTCAAACAATGTCGAAAATAGATTTTTACATTTTTACAGGTGTATTAACCTTATTATATTGCCAGATGTCATTTATATTTTGTAGTAACATAAAATTGAAGTCTTCTCCTTTGCATGGAGTTAGGGGCCTGGGTCAAACATTGCTAAAAAGGTTTTTGACATTTTTGCTCACATAGCTTTTATTTCTTGACTGATGTATTTCATATTTGAAAGGAAGGTAATTTTGCCATGGTTTTCTTCCTTTCGATTGGAGGAAGGGGATCAGTGGGTCAAAGTCACCAGTGCTAAAAATAGATTTTTACACATATTCCCATATAGCCTTTATTTATAGGCAGAATATATTTCATAGGAAGATACCTTGCATGATATTCTTCCTTGTGACAGAGGTAGAGGTCAGTGGGTTATTGTGAAGGTGTCAATTATAGAAATTCTACGCAATTGCTTATAAATAGTCTTTAGCTATTTGATAACTTGCATCCTTTGGATTGAGTTAAGGATTCAGTTGGATTTAGGTCACCAAGTGCTAAATAAATGATTTTTACCTTTTTGGCCAAACACGCTTTATTTATGGACAGATGACTTTCAAATTTGGTAGGAAGAAATCTTGCATGGCCTTTTTTCTTTGAATTGAGTAAGAGGTCAGTTGGTCCAGGTCAAGAGTGCCAAAATTAGATTTTTATATATTAGTTTATACGGCCTTTATTAATAGACCGTGATTTACATATTTGGAAGGAACATACCTTGGATGGTCCAGATATAAGTAAAGAAAAATAAACAAGAGATCATGGCCCTGAGTCACTCACAGAAACAACTGCTTTTCAGTTGTTGGAAATTATCCATTGTGAATATTTTCGTATTATCAAATTTTGAGCATAGAATTATGTTTAAACAATAATTATAAGAAATGCCATGACCTGGGGCATTTAAACTTATGCTTAAACGTGGGCCAATTAAATTAATATGAGCAAACTTAATAAAGTTTGGTTGATCATCCATGAACTAGTTCTGTAGAAGAAGATGTCTAAAGGTTTTTTTTTTATTTTAGCTCTAGAGACCCCTAAAAAGGGGCCAATCAAATGAATATGAGCAAACTTGATATAAGACTATACACAAGAATGCTACAGACAAAAGTTTTGGTGATCATCCATCAATTAGTTCTGTAGAAATAGAGGTTTTTAAAGGTATTTCTTTTTTTAGCTTTAACGCGCCCCTAAAAGGGGCCAATCAAATTAATAAGAGCAAACTTGATAAAAGACTACCCAAGAAAGCTACAGACAAAGTTTTTGGTGATCATCCATTTATTAGGTCTGTAGAAAAGACGTTTAAATGTATTTCTATTTTTAGCTTTACCGGCTCCTAAAAGAGGCCAATCAAATTAACATGAGGCAAATTTAATTAAAGACTACCTTATAATGCTTACAAAACAAAGTCTTGTAATCATCCATCAATAAGTTACTGTAGAGATTGACGTTTAAATGTAATACTTTTTTAGCTTAGCAGCACCTAAAAGGGGCCATTTAAATAAATATGAGCAAAACTTGATAAACGACTACCCAGGAATGCTTCAGACAAAGTGCGGTGATCATCCATTCATTCGTTTCTTTAGAAGAAGATGTTTAAATGTTTTTCTATTTTTAGCCCTAGAGACCCCTAAAAGAGACCCATTTAAAATTAATATGAGCTAACTTGATATAAGACTACCCAAGAATGCTATAGACAAAGTTTGGTGATCATCCGTCAATTAGTTCTGTAGTAGAAGATGTTTAAAAAAAATCTATTTTTAGCTCTGTTGACCCCTAAAAGGGGCCAATTGAAATGAAATGAGCAAATTCAAGTGTGACTGTCACAAGGATGCTACAGACCTAATTCAATGTAAATCTGCCCAGCAGTTTCAGAGTAGAAGATGATTGTTGACGCATGACGACGGACGACGGACGCCGGAGCATCCCCCGTTGATACTAATAGCTCACCCTGACCCTTCGGTTCTGGTGAGATAATAAAAATACAGTGAATTCTAAAATGAAAAGTAAAAACATGTATAGTCACAAATGTAGGTTCTAAGTAAACTAATTTTAACGTTTTATTTGTTTATTTATTTATCTTATTATTCATTTACCATTTTTTATTATTATTATTTGTTTATTTTGAAACAAAAAATCATCGTAACACTAAGAGTCCACAATACACCACTGAACAGCTGTCTTTACCCTTCTTTGTATAGGAAGTATTAACGGTTTAACCAAATCAGTTCTCTATATATTCGTAATAAATATAAAAAGCATGATTTTTTGGGGAATAAAACAGAAGTGATGAAACAATCCCTTTACATGAAATTTTTTGAAAGGAAGGTTTAAAATTTAAATTAGGAATTAAAAGGAAAATTTTTCACTTAAAAGATTTTTTTGACATTTTATTCAATTTTGGGAAATTTTATATATTCAAATAAAATTAATTTAAAAAGAAATTATTTCAAAAAAATTCCTTACAAAATATTTAAAAGGGAAAAAAAAAAAATTTTTCACATAAAAAAATTTAAATTTAAAAAGTTTTTTTTTCCCAAATTTTCCCGGGTTTTTTTTCCCCCTAAAAAGTGATTTGGGGGTTTAAAATATATAGATTTGTTCAAAAGGAAACAAGTGATTACTTGCGCTTATCTGACTCAAGTAAAGTTCCAGAATATTATAAATTTTGTTCATTTTTTCGTTATATTTATCCATCACGTGACCAGTAAGTCAACTTCTTTCTCTCATTCTTACCGCATTACAACGCTGCCAAAGATTGAATTGTTTGAAAAATAGAATGCGTGTACGAGTAAAAAATTAGACAGAGTCGGTGCAAGGGGCGTGAGCGATAGCTAGGTGCTTTTTTTGAGAACAGCCCAAGTCTGCATCATTTTTGTTTTGCTGGTTTGGTATTCTTTAGGAACTTCTGTTTTGTGTTTCTGTTGTTTTTTTTCCTATTGATCACTTCATTTTCACCCCGAAATATGAAATGGACTATAAAATTGATATAAATAAATATGTGTTTAATTATTTACCTTTGTAAATTTCATATTCATTTAAAAATAATATTTCAAATATCGATTGTCTACCACTTCGACATACTTTTTTTATTTTCGCCTAAATTTTAAAACCCCTTTTTTTTTAAATTTTGAAGAAAAAAAACCTTTCCCCTTATTTTAAAGTTTTAGTTTTGGTTTTGTTTAAAAATTGGTTCTTTTCCTGTTTACATTTTTTTTGGGAAAGGGGGGACTTATAACTTTTTTGGGTGGTTTTTTCCCTTGAACCCTTTTCATAAAACAATTCTTTTGGAAAATTTTAAAAAAGGGTTACCCGGCCCCCCCCACCCCCCCCCCCCCAAAAAAAAATTCCCAATAACGTAAATTTAAACCCGGGGTTTTTAAAACGAAACCCATTTTTCAAACTATTGGGATTTTTTTTTTCTAAAAATAAAAAAAAAAATAAAAACCCAATTTACTGATTAATAACACTAGATATCACTGTGGCAAACTATCTAAACCCTGTTTTTGGCTTTTCATGATTTGAACGTTAAAATTCAATCCTATTAACAATGGGAATCTGGTTACATGATAATTTTAAACTTATAAGGGAAACACCAAAAAAATCAAGAAGTGGAACCAAATAAATCCTCGGTGGACAACAATTCTTTGGGGAATGTGAAATAAATCAAATATTACGGACTGGGGAGGTATCATTTTGATATGATTTTAGGAATTTTTTTTGATAAAAAACTTATACAAAAATAGTTATATATTAACTTCTACATGCATTTATTTTATTTGCCCCTATACTGGAATCAAAAGGTTTTTCCTTCTGCCTTTTTCGTTGCCTTTTAAAAAGATGGAAAGGGGAAGTTAATTTAAAATTCGTTTGTTGCTGACAACTATGGTTAATCAAAAGACTTTATTATTGTAATGATTTACTTTTTGTCTATTATTTTTTGTTCTGTATCCTAACTGGTTAACTGTTAATTCAACCTGTTATGTCAATTACTCATGTACAACATCGAGCACTTATCACCCCAATGCTTGCAAACAATTTTATACAACTTTTGAACTCTAACTTTATATACTGTAATCTCTTTCTAGTTTACCTTATTATTCCTTAATTAAACCCAATGCAAAAACCATCCCTTTCCGATTAACAATTTTTAAATGCACTGACCATAAACTTCCATAAACTTCTTTAACGCGGTTTTTATATATAATGGTTCCCAGGGAAATCTGATTTTTCTAAAAATAAAAACTTTAATTTCCAGATAGGGGTTCAAAACCAATATTAAATGTAATAATGCCAAGTATTAATTATGATTATCGGATTAATATCGATAATTCGGGATTAAGGAGGTACAATTGACTTTCGAATAATGGATTCGAATTTTAATATCCGACTAGTGGTAAACGGCTACTACTAAACGTTGACCATAACATGTAACATAGCATAACAGTTATTTTTATTTATAACGCATATGTAACATGAATTCAAACGACCAAATAAAAAAAACCACAAAAAACAACATACAAAAAACAAACAAAAAACAAACAAAGGGAAATGTGTCGAAATAAATATTTAATTGGCATCAAAGACATAACTACGTGCATTTAATTCCGTATAATGTTGAACGTAAAATAAATCAAACACTTTGCTGTCAATATCAATGATGCAACACCATTGTATAAATTGAAATCATTATTTTGAAGACTTAAACCTTATTCGAAATTGTATAATAGGGATTAAAATTTACCACAAAAACATAGGACGTTTTCGAATAATGGATATCGTATAATACGTTCGTGTTATATTTATTTATATAGTCTACGTGTATTAAACAGGACAGCGCGACTACTGCAGATAATACCGGGTGTGTAGAAAATTCGTGGTTAGCCTGTAAATCATGTAAACATTAAATTGTCTTGTTCATTATAGCAGGTACAAAATATTGTCATTATTAATGACGAACCCGCACTCGCTCCTCGATTTCACAGCAATTTGCTCTTTTAATAGTACTCATTCTATATGATATATAGTTGTTATCAATTTTTTATACATTTCAATCCCTTTACTTTAACTACCGTATAATGTGCATTTGTACAAATGTAATCAATGTGAAACGTTTTGGGTTCATAATAGCTGGCTGAATTGTATTCAATAAAAATACCCTTACGATAAAGTCAAAAGCAATCGAATAATGTTTACAGATAAGAGATTCTCTGAACGGAAGTAAATTAACAAATGCAGGTAATTTTTTATGTAGCATTGAATGTTAAGTAAACATAAATATACAACACTAACGTTTTGTTTTTCCAATTATTTCTATTTATTTACAATAACTTAAGTTTAACGAATTAAGAAATTCTGCGACTGGTTATGTATCTTTGAAAACGAAAGAGGAAGTATATTCTTGTACACTTTACTATGAAACTACTTTCATTATCACTTGAAATTACATCGATACGTACCTATTACTTGTACATAATGAGAAATAAAATTAGGTAATATAATAAACACAAAAAGGGTTTTATTCAGCTTTCTCTTTTGAACTGAACGTGCTCTTGCTTCCTTTCAAATAACATTGACGGATGCAAGTTTGTCGTGTCAAGTAAATCAGTCGTTTTTTGTTTGTTTGTTTGTTTTTGTCCCTAAATATTCATTGCGTTGAATATCATTAACACATATTTAGTTATAAATGAACGTTTTTTTTGTGTAAAGAACTTTATTTTCATATAATGCTATATCAAATTTTCAAGACAGAACAGTATTTGTTATTTGTTATGCACCTGTCAATATTTTGCCCTACCGGGGGGGGGGCGGCGGGCATACACGGGGCTTTAGACAGAAGACCATTCCTGACAGGCGAGAATTTGACAAACTTATGGAATCCGGGTCCCGGGAAATAGACTTTGGCCGGTTTTTACATCCCGGGACTCGGGAATTTCGACGCCACAAATTAAAAAAGGGGAGTAACGGTCCAAAGACGACGGCGATATTTTTATTCGTGTTTTTTAAGTTGCAGACATGAAACTTTTCGAATTTTTCTACGGTAGAGAAAATAGTGGGATAAGGCGAGAAGGTTGCCTCAGAAATTGGATTTATATGCAAAGGTATACAGGGATTGTATTCTTCATTTATTTTCACATTTACCCAGACACTAGTATGTGGAGCCTAGTGGTATTTGTCATCTGTTTTCGCGAATAAACACATTTAATAATTGATTTATTTTGCGAGTCCGACAGGCATTGGTCATCACATGAAACTGACACTTATCTCGTATTGATAATACTAAATCCACAAAAGAACGTTCACTTTGCCTGTAGAATATAAACGATTACAGCAGAAAATTTCGTATCGATTGAGATAATCCTTTTAACTGCAGTATGAATGAACTGATCAAGTGACACAAAACGGATGTTGAATACATACACACAGAATTATGTTATTAATTATTCATTTTTTAATTATTTTAACACCTATGCGACCAGTGCAGATCCAGATCAGCCTGCACATCCGTACAAGGGAGTCTCAATCCAAAGGCTGAAGTCACGGGACTCCAAGTCAGTCATAGTTCCCGTGAGCCTTGTTAGAATATGATTTTTAATAAAGTAAGAAAATGCATTTTAAATATGTCAAAACAGATCTAGATAAAATGATATCTTTTTTTCAGATGTATTACCATCATTGTTTTTTATCATTTACTGTTTCAACTGCTTGTCATAACGAGGCTTTGAATCTTGGCTCTCGGTTTCATCTTCATTGGTCTTGTATTGCTTTACGGCCGTGACTTGCTCTTATAAAAAGTAAATTGAATCTGCAGAAACTGTTAAGGCTTTGTTCTAATCTGATAAATGTGAATGTATTAAAATTGATTTATATTTAAACAGGTGAATATTTGGTTGGACCATTAAAGGCATTTGACGAGTGTTGCTGCCAACAGAAAAAGGGGCAAGTCAAAGGCGTCTGAGACACGGTCTTCGAAAAAGGTATTCAGGCACAATGACATTATGAGTTGAATTTCATAAATGATTGCCTCAACATTAAATGAGTCTGAGGCCAAAAAAACTCTTTTTTCTGAAAGCCATAAAAAACATAAGGGGTATTGCACTTCTGTGGTCTAAATATGTGCATTTTATCATTGACATGGTGGGGAATCATTGATATGGTGACCTGTGACGTAACATGGTATCTTAAAGTCCCATTATGCATTTGTAAACTTTATATGAAATAAAAGAGTATTCACTCCAATGACATCAAGTAGAATTCTGATGTAAAAATTTGCATTTGATTTCTTAAAGACATGAAAGAAAATCTTCGAAATATACGCTATAAATATATTGTGCTCGTGTAGCGCAAATGTAATAATTGGAGGTATGTTTGGATGAAAAAATAAATTCTGAAGAATAGTAATGTGGAAATGAGCCATTTTCTTCAATAAGAGGATGATTATAATATGTTTATTCAGTAATTGAAATTTTACTCACAAAAGCTTATGTTCCTTTAAACTTAAAATTGGTGGATTCTCCTGAAAAAGCACAATATTGTTTATAATGTAATAATGTCACTGGGGGCTACTGCAAGTCCTGTCAGTTACGAATACACCAAGATATTTTCTGTTAAACAAAGATATTGAGTTAAACAAAAACATTCTCACATGGACACCTGAATCTGAAAGATTATAAATTGCTGTAATACCATGTCATGTGGTCTCCATATCACGTGATTCCCCACCATAATTGCAAGATTAATTTGATAGACTAAGTACTAGCAGAATCTTTAGAAAATAATGTGTTTTCAACAAAAACGAAAAACAAAAGTACCATTTTTGTTCCAATAGAATTAAAAACAATCTATTGTTTTATCTATCAAAAATATATGTTGGAAATCTTTGTTAAGTTGTGCTACTGAATTATTAATTTTCAAACAATCCAGGCTCAAGCTCCTATCCAGGCTCAATTAAGCTCCTTAAAGGAAAGGGTTTCCTTTTTAAAACCCCACCCCAAGTTTCCCATCCAGGGTTCCTGCTCCTTTTCCAGGCTTTTGGGGAGAGTGCCCCAAGATTGTGAGTACACCATGCAACCCAGCTTAAGAAATTATGCCAGTTCTTTTTTGTAAGCTTTGTGTTCATGGTGAGCCTATAATTGTCGTTTCTCATATTTGGCTGAAATCTCGGCAAAGTACAAGGCTGTGTCATTTTGGGTAAAAAAAACTATAAACACTAGGTCAAATCTTAGAAAAAGAATGCGAACACATTAAAGAGGCCACATTTGTGGCCCATTCTTCATGAAACTTAGTGTAAATGTTCATCTCTATAAAATCTAGAACATGTTCAAAATTAGGTCATGAGGGGTCAAAAATGTAAGTCACTAGGTCAAATCTTAGAACATTTTTGGTCCAATTTAAATGAAAACTTAATAAATTTGTAACCTTTAAAAATGCCCTCTATTTCAGGTAAAAATGTGGAAGTGTCCAGGTTTGGCAGCAACAGAGGCAGGAAGAATGTCGTTTTAATGACTTTTTGTGTTAAATGTTAAAATAAAATAGAAAGTTAAAGTGTTGTAAGTTTTTAGCTCATCTGAGCTGTGAGCACGAAGCTATTGTGATCATGATCGGTGAATGTCTGTCTTCGCAAATCTGGTGTCCTCAACTTTTAGTGTTTTAGCACTCTAAGAGGCCCCAGATATTCAATTATCAATTATAATTACGCTTGGTCATCATGCTTACCATCCCTACAGAAACTGGGTCATGTGGTTTGTTTTTGTTTTGTTTTGTTTTGGGTTTTATGTCACATCGACACAGTATAGGTCATATCGCGACGTTCCAGCTTTACTGGTGGAGGAAGACCTCAGGTGCCCTTCCGTGCATTATTCCAGGCACGAACGGGCACCTGAGTAGAACCACCGACGTTCCGTAAGCTAGCTGGATAGCTTCCTCACATGAAAGAATCCAAAGTCCCTGTCGGGATTCGAACCCACAGCGGTGAGGGGCAAGTGGTTTGAAATCAACGACCTTAACCACTCGGCCACGGACGCCCCTGGGTCATGTGGAGTCAGAAACTAGGTAAGTAGGTTTGTTTTGTAGCTACACTATAAATGTAAAATATTAAAGAGCTTATACGATCGATTGTGTGTCCGTGTCCGCATTGGTTTAAGTTTTTTAAGTCATCCATTCTATCCTATGAAAGATATTCAATTGAAACTAGGTACGATATTTAGTGGGACTGCCACTACCATACTAAGAATGCTTATAACCTGGATGCATTATTTTCAGAATTATGCCCCTTTATTACTTTAAAATACCCATTTTATAAGTTTCTTCTAAGTCTAATTATTTGAATACTATCAAAGTTATTAAACTAAAATTGATACATAATTACTCATTGGGTACTTCAGAGGCCCATTAATCTGGATTCATTATTTTCCTAATGATAAGCCTTTTTACTTATATTTTTCATTGTTTTTTTCTGATAACAGTTTTATTTATTGATTGATCGCTTAGATATTTACCCATTTACCCTCTCCCCTACCCCTGGGGCATTTGGTGCACCAAGCAGGCTCAAGGGTGGGAATTTAGACAAAATTGGTTGTCTCTAGGGTGGGGATGTAGACTTCAAACATTTTAAGATGTCAAATTCCCCTGGGTCAGCCCGCCGCCCCCCCCCCCGGGCGGGCAAAATAATGATAGGTGCATTATATCTGTATGGAAATCTAAATATTTATACTTTTTATATACATGAAGTTCCATAAAATGGTTTAATATTCTCTTCCTTTTGTTTGTTAAGTCATGTTTCACAAATATACTTGTAAAGATACTTATAACTTCTCAGTTTATTTAGTAATATATTTACACATACATTTTCATAAATCTTAAGATAAACGATAAAATACTTCATTTTTAGCATTGTTTCTTATCTATGGTCAGTTCAATAACCTTAATTACACTACACCTCTTCAAGTCCGTTACCTTATATTCCGTTATTAAGTTATGCTATTAAGTTAACAAAAGAAATGGTCATTGGTGACATATTTTGACTGGTGATAATTAGAAATAAGAACAGAACTTTTTGAAATAAACTTTTCGAATAAATAATATTCGTTTAATGTCGAAAACATAGTTACAAGTGAAAAAGGAAATATATTTCATTAAGAAAAAATACGAATATATCGGGAGGGAAAAGGGGGTGAGGAATAGTGAAGTCTAGTTCCAAGGTGATAAATATTTCATTCTTCCGTCAAAATAAACAAGAC